TTATCCTCATTATTTTCTGTTACTTTTCACAGAAAAAAAACAGCATAAAAAAAGGTTAAGTAAATGATATAAAGCCAAACTATGGGAAATCCCAAAATGATCCCTCATGGTGGGGCTGTGCCTACACTGCAAGGGTTAGCAGCTTATTTAGTTTAGGGGAGAGGAGAAGCACTTTTACTTACCTGATCCTCTGCTACGGCAGATTGTGCTCCCGCATGCTCCACTGGTGGGTTTTTCCTTTGCATCTTCAAGTCCAGTGCAAGGCTATGGTCCCTGCTTTGGTCTTGATGGCATCGGGACCTTAAACTGCTGGAGCGTAGGGGAGAAGACACTAGCAGCACAATCAGGAAAGTTAATCTGCTATAACAAGTCCCATAGACCTAAATCAAAAATGAACTCTTACAGCGTAGGCCCAACCTGAGCATAAGGGATCATTTTCAAGTTTCCCAGGGCTGGGCCCTTAATGTGCCAATACACAAATATTCAAATACACCCACTTTGAGCAGCATTCCAACCCAGTAGTACAATAGCTGGCATTGCACCCTCACTGCAGCCCCCCCAAATTGCTTATGCCATGCATTGTGGTGCTCTCCCTTGAAAAAAACAGGTCATATCTATTTTTGGCTGCGTTGTAATGCATTGGTAGCCTGTGTATTTGAATGGGCTGCCTTAAAGCACTGCGGGTTAAGGCATGACATATTTCTTAATGCTCCATAATGAAGCACTAAAGTGTGATTGGGTCCTAAATTAAACAAAAAAGTTAAATACACCCCCCAAAAAAACACACCCTCTAAATAAAGTTGAAGAAAGTAGATCATATTAGATCATAGAGTAGTAGAAAGTGATGATAGTTTAAAATGTGCATGTATGTAAAATAACCTGTGAACACATAAAGATTATTTTACATACATGCAACATTATAACAAAAGAATGACATAGGTGGGTCATCATCAATGACTGAAAATATTTTCATTTCTTGACTAGAGTGTCCCTTTAAAGTCATGCTTAATTTTAGTTTAAATCAGCTAATATTATTATTTCACATGCATTCCAGGTGCATTAGAATAAAATGTATGCAAAGTCTCTGGTTTCCTCTAGAAAATGGTCAAAGCCTGAGTAAAAGAGAAAAGTCTGCCCCTTGCTGGGATTTTGCTGAAAAAGACCATTGATGTTTGTGTGGAAGCAGAGGTCCCTCTGCAGAGGTCTGACACACTCCAGTGCAGATTCAGAACTAGAAACTCTCCATTCAGCAGGGAGCTTGAATTTTGCTTATTGCAGAAACTATATCTCTGACTCAGTAGGGGTATGTAGAGCCCAAGGGCCCGGGGTCAGTAGAGGGGCCGGTGAGAGGCTCACTGGGCATAATTTACTAAGCGGTATCTTACTGCATCTGAGTATGTGGTAGGATACCGCTCAGCATTTAAAAAAAAAAAACGTTTTAATGCACCAAAAATTGCTACTAAAATACTGCATGAGTTATTTTATCAATTCTTGCGGTATTTTAGTAGTGAAAACCACGTGTTTAATGTTTCAGCTTTCAGCAAGGTTCCCTATTGACAGCTGAATGTAAAAGAAAGAATTGCTGGCCATTAAAAAAAATAATTTACAAAACGGAGGGGGGTCCCCCCCTCCAACCATACCAAGTTCTTCGGGTCTGATGGATTTTGAGGGGAACCCCATGCCAAATTCTTAAAAAAAGGGGGGGCAAGATCTGGGGGCCCGCTTGCTAAAGGGGGCATTCCATATTCCAATATGGTGCCCGGACCCCCACAACCACAGGCCAGGATTGTGAGCAAGAGGCCCTTGTCCCCATCAACATGGGGAACAAGGTGCTTTGGGGGGAACCCCCGAAAGCACCCCCCCCATGTTGAGGGCATGTGTGCCTGGTATGGTTCAGGAGGGGGGGGGGCCCCTAGTTCCCCCCCCTTTCCTGCATGCTCGGATAAGGGTCTGGTATGGATCTTGGGGGGCCCGCTTGCTAAAGGGGGGCTTCCATATTCCAATATGGTGCAGGCCCCCACAACCACAGGCCAGGATTGTGAGCAAGAGGCCTTGTCCCCATCAACATGGGACAAGGTGCTTTGGGGGGAACCCCCCGAAAGCACCCCCCCCATGTTGAGGGCATGTGGCCTGGTATGGTTTCAGGAGGGGGGCCCTAGCTTGTCCCCCCCTTTCCTGCATGCTCGGATAAGGGTCTGGTATGGATCTTGGGGGAGACCCCCATGCCATTTTTTATAGATTTTGGTGTGGGGTTCCCCTCAAAACCCATACCACTATGGTGACACTGTACTGTAGGGTGATGGTATGTTTAAAAAAAGAAACATAAATAATAATATTAAAAAATAAAATAAAAAATGTATAAAAATGATTTTTAAAAAATTATAATTTTTGGTTATAAACTAATTTTGGGGTTATTTTTTTTACTAAAAAAGATAACAATACATTTTGGCCAAGATTTTATGAAGAAAGATTAATATATTTGCAAAATTTTATAAGAAAAAACACTTTTTTTCAAAATTTTTGAACTTTTTCATTATATAGCAAGAAAAATAAAATTCCCATTGTGAATAAACACACCACCAAAAATAAAGTTTTATCTGTCTTAAAAAAATGCTAAAAAATTTCATATGGTACAGTGTTGCATGACCGTCACAATTTTCATTCAAAGTGTGACACAGCGCTGAAAGCTGAAAAATTGGCCTGGGCAGGAAGGGGGTGAAAGTGTCCGGACATGAAGTGGTTAGACAGATATTACATAGACCGCGCGGGATGCAGGGTTTGTCATAGTGTGGCTTATAGAACGGATTCCCTTCCATTTCTTCTGAATCGTGTCTATGGACTACATTGCCTGGGCTGGCTTCCATCTTACTAATAATCACTATTCTTGGGACACGTCTTTAGTGTTTATTGTCTGTTGTGAGTGGGGAGCTTAAGTAAGCCACAGCTGCCAATTCTGTCTGATAACCAGAGGAAGTCTCCAGGATTGAGGTTCGGTCCCAGGAAAAAGCTGCTATTTATAGTTAGTATTGCAGAGTGAATATTCTCCAAATCTGTTTACTGATTGTAATGGTCAGAAAACCCCTAGACCAGTGGTGGCGAACCTATGGCACGCGTGCCGCAGCGGGCACTCAGAGCCCTCCCTGTTGGGCACTGCGAGCAGTTGAGCATCGGATCATAGCGCACATAGGGGCCATGCACTCCGCTTGGATAGGAGTAGTGGCACCAGGCGATGAGTCCGTCACGAGCCACGACTCATTAGCCACGACTTGTCCGAGCTTTCGCATGGCCAGTCAGTGCACTGCCAAGGATATATATATATATTGGACTGGCTGTTGAGTTTTAAATAGATTCATTTTTATTAACACAAAATTTTAGCATTTGCTGGTGATCACTTTGCCCCCTTGTGCTGGTGGTCAGTGGAACTTTGCCCCCTTGTGCTGGTGGTCAGTGGAACTTTGCCCCCTTGTTCTGGTGGTCAGTGGAACTTTGCCCCCTTGTGCTGGTGGTCAGTGGAACTTTACCCACTTGTGTGCTTGTGGCCAGTAGAACTTTGCCACCTTGTGCTGTGGTTAGTGGACCTTTGCCCCCTTGTGGCTGGTGATCAGTGGAACTTTGCACCCTGTGTTGGTGGTCAGTGGAACTTTGCGCCCTTGTGATGGTGGTCAATGGAACTTTTGCACCCTTGTGCTGGTGATTCAGTGGAACTTTGCCCCCTTGTGCTGGTGGTCAGTGGAACTTTGCCCCCTTTGTGTGCTGGTGATCAGTGGAACTTTGCACCTTGTGCTGGTGGTCAGTGGAAATTTGCCCCCTTGTGCTGGTGATCAGTGGGACTTTTCCCCCTTGTGCTGGTGGTCAGTGGAACTTTCCCCCCCCTTGTGCTGGTGGTCAGTGTACCTTTGCCCACATTTTGTGGTGGTCAGTGGAACTTTCCCCCCGTTGTGCTGGAGGTCAGTGGACCTTTGCCCCCCTTGTGCTGGTGATCAGTGGACTTTTGCCTCCTTGTGCTGGTGGTCAGTGGACCTTTGCCCCCTTCTGCTGGTGGTCAGTGGAACTTTGCCCCCTTGGCTGGTGGAAGCTCTGTTGTTGTGTTTTTGTTTTAAGACAAATGATGTTAATGTATGGGTTGTTTTTTTCTAAACTAAAAACCTCAGTATTCAGGTGTAATTGTAGTGTTTGCACTTTGCGATAAATAAGTGGGTATTATTTTGGATTCATTTAAATTCATTACTATTGTAAGGATTAAAAAAAAATATATAAATATATATATATATATATATTATATATATATTTATATATATAGGGTGTGTGTGGGTTTTCTGCTGTCATTCTACTTTTCTGTTTTCTATTCACTTCAAAAAAAGTCGATTTATGAATGCTTGCTATGGGTCATTGTGTTTTCCACATCCTCATTACTTTCTGTACCACTAATAGGCTTGTTGATGGTTTTTGGCCCCGTTGTTGGACATAGGCATCCATGTCTGAGAGGACACGTCTGAGCACACCCTCATGTGTTGGCCCCTTTAGCACATTGATCTTTATATCATGATGCAGGAGACCAGCTGGAGATGCTGAGTCTACTCCTCTGACCTTGCTTGCTGTGTGTCCCCGACACCAAAAATATCTTTATTTAGGCGCCAAACCTGAGCCATTCAGTTCTATTTAAAGCTGTTAGTTGTGGTTGCAACAAAAATAATCGTTTACCTGAATGCTGAAATAATCCTATGAGGATTGAAAAACGCCATTAACCTTTACAACAACCTGTGTATAACAGTATATGACAAACTGTAATGGTTTTTTGAGGACCCTTTCATTCTCTTTTTGTATAGACTGTCTTTAGTTTATATGGTTTTAAATGGAATGTTTTACATTTGTTTGTACTAGAAGCATACCATCTGTGCTTTACAAAAGAAACAGTTAATACATAAAGGATTCTCAGAGCAATGTGGGCTAACAAAAGAGCCAAACACAATAGTATCTGCCTGTCTTAAAGTGTTACTAAACCTAGGACCCTGCATTCACTATATCTGGTCTCCCAGGACCCTGCATTCACTATATATGGTCTCCCAGGACCCTGTATTCACTATATCACGGTCTCCCAGGACCCTGCATTCACTATATATGGTCTCCCCCGGACCCTGCATTCACTACATCCGGTCTCCCCGGACCTGCATTCACTATATCTGGTCTCCCCGGACCCTGCGTTCACTATATACGGTCTCCCAGGACCTGCATTTTCACTATATTGGTCTCCCTGGACCTGCATTCACTATATCCGATGTCCTCGGACCCTGATTTCACTATATTTGGTCTCCCCGGACCCTGCATTCATTATATCTGGTCTCCCCGGACCCTGCATTCACTATATCCGGTCTCTCAGGACCCTGCATTCACTATAGCTAGTCTCCCCAGACCCTGCATTTCACTATATCTGGTCTCCCAGGAACCTGCATTCACTATATCCTAGTCTCCAGGACCCTATATTCATTATATCAGGTCTCCCAGAACCCTGCATTTCACTATATCCGGTCTCCCCGGACCCTGCATTCACTATATATCGGTCTCCCAGACCCTGCATTCACTATATCTGGTCTCCCGGACCCTGCATTCACTTTATCTGGTCTCCCAGGACCCTGCATTCACTATATCCTGTCTCCCTGGACCCTGCATTCACTATATCTGGTCTCCCCAGGACCCTGCATTCACTATATCCAGTCTCCCAGGACTCTGCATTCACTATATCCAGTCTCCCGGACCTGAACACAGATACAACACTCAGGGGATAATCCCCTGACACAGGGCGGGGCAATCTACACATTAGTAACAAGACATACACAGTTATTCAAACTCCAGCAGACAGTCCTATCAGGAGGGAGGGCTGCTGGAGACTCCCCCCCCCCCCACTAAGCTAATACAATAAACACATACATCCCATAATAGTTTGCTCCCAAACCAGATAAACAATAGAACAATGGGATGCAGCCACACAACACCAAGCAATCCAAAACCCCCCCCCCCACCTATCTCCTAGACAGGTCTACACAATATTAGGGACAGATCATCACCTGTACCCCTAACAGCACAGGGTGACTTACACATAAGAGGGATATGGGGAGCTGAGGCCGAGGTCTCCCACCCCTCCAAAAAGTGAGCTGTGTTCAATGGGCCCCCCACCCAAATGGAACTCCCGTCACAAGGATGCTTTGTAAGCACACGTATGCTGTAAGTAAAGATATATTTGTCTTGTGAGAACACATTACGTTCTTTACAGCTAAGCATTTAACAAAAAATATCTTTCCACTATAAATCCATGTTCCATCCCTCTCTGTAATTGCTGGTTTTCTAATATGTACAGTTATCCTCCTTTGCTGTCTAATCGGGCATTAAAGTGTTCTGTCTTGTTGGATGTGGCCTTTTCACTTGTGCCCTTCTCCTCCACTTTCATTCATCAGACGCTTGCATGACACCCACCGAACACCTTTCCTCCCCTCCATTATAAGCGGGTGTTGTTTCCTGTTTACCGATACGTTTTCTCCCGCTGTTCCCGGCTAGAATTGGAATTAATCAGCGTCGCACCTCCCGGATCCCCCAGGATGAACAGCAGTCATCTTCCTTCGGTGATGTTGGCTTCTCAAAGCTTTAAACTAATTAGACAGGTTTATGTTATCAATTTTTGTCATTTCATTGCTTCCATGGCAACTGCAAAGTTTGATGTGTTTGTCAATCTGTGGTCCCTTTTATCAGAACACCAGCTTCTGCGTGTTTTTCTCAATTTATTTTCAGAAATATCAAGAATATCATGATCTAGCCCAGTGTTTCTCAACCTTTTTTCAGCCAAGGCACCCTTTAAAATTATGGGCAGTCCCAAGGCACCCTTTACAATTATGGACAGTCCCGAGGCACCCGTTACAATTATGGGCAGTCCCGAGGCACCCTTTACAATTATGGACAGTCCCGAGGCACCCTTTAAAATTATGGGCAGTCCCAAGGCACCCTTTACAATTATGGACAGTCCCGAGGCACCCTTTACAATTATAGACAGTCCCGAGGCACCCTTTAAAATTATGGGCAGTCTTGAGGCGCCCCATTCTAAAATGCGAAAAAACCATTCTAATAGTTTTATATAACGCAGCAACATCCACACATGTAGGACACCCAACATTAGAGGTGATTTTTTCTTCCAAAGCAAATACACTTCTGCACACTGGTACAGAGTAGTATTCCATTGTTTCTCTTCTCCCTCAGTTTTTCCTCCATCACTGAGGATGAGTCAGGGGAGAGTCAAACAAGGATGCTGTGCAGGCGGCTGACATCCTCCTTACCAACTGGTGATGCCATTGGTTGCCAGGACGCCAACGGCTAGAAGGTGGTAATGGTGCACAATGAAAACCTGTGGCTTTGTGTAACTAAAAGGCAGGCTTGCTCCACCCGCTGGCTTGTATAGAAGTTTTGAGCAATTTTTAGACATTTTGCCAAGGCACCCCTGAAGAAACCTCAAGGCACCCTGGTTGAGAAAGGCTGATTTAGCCTACTAGTAAGAGAGAGAAGGGATGCCTGTTACGGGTTGAGAATCTGCTCCCTCTAGGGTAGGGGTGTCAAACTGGCGGCCCTCCAGCTGTTGTGAAACTACAAGTCCCATCATGCATCTGCCTTTGGGGGAGTCATGCTCATAACGGTCAATCTTGAAATGCCTCCGGCCTTTTGGCTAAGATCAAGTGTAGTATCTGTTCTTATCAGTGTCCAGTAGGGGTGCTCCACCATCATTCCTGCTTGCGGGGATGATTGGTTGTATAGTACCCCTGCTGGTAGGATGGGGGTCCTGATGGTTAGTACAGGCTGGAACAGAAACCGAGGCGCCCACAGGCAGTTGGGGCCCAGGAGTAATTCCCCCTGGAAAACCAGAGGGGCCCAGTTCCTCCTGGTTTGAATGGATCTACCTTGTCTGGCCAGGGGCCGGGGAGGCAGTGAGTCCGCGGAACAGTGCCCCCTGAGTGGTCGCCTCAGGGGTGCTCTTAGTAGCACATGGGGATGGGATCCCAAGTGTGAAACGTGCACATGGTCACTGATCCAAAACACGTTTTCTGCACTGTGACTTTTAGGGCTAGGCCTTTTGGCTAAGTCCAGGGCAATTTTTATGCTACAGGCCTCAGGGCCTAGCCAGTGCACAATTGCACGGCCACTTTTTTATTTTTTTAACTTATTTTTTTCTCCCACGTTTGTTCACTTTCACTTATGTGTGTGTTTTCTTTTCTCAGGGTGTGGGTCCTTGGGCCTACCCTGAAGTCTAGGGGGAGGATGTGTGGCCTTTTGGTTCCTTCCTCCCCTGTCCCTAGGGGGTTTGCTCTTCGGGAGAGCCCCCTTACCTAGTTCTTGGTGGCTGGCTTTGGCTAGCCACAAGGAAAGGGGTCCACCAGGCCTTTTGGCTAGGAGGACCACACGGAAACCTTAATCCCTGTCAGGAGCTTTGTGCCCTGGGGGATCAGGGTAGAGATCCTACCCCTTCGGGGGGTGGACAAAGCACGCCCCTAAGTGCACTTTTTTGTGTTGGTTTTGCACTAGCACGTTTTTTTTTGTTCACTTACATTTTTTTGTTTTTCGCACGTTCACGGACTTAAAAAAAAAAACAAAATCTTGAAATGCCGCATGGGACTTGTAGTTTGGCAACTAGCTTCCTTGTCTCCTCTTCCCCTGCTCGTCTCCGGGACTTCTCCAGAGCTTCCCCCATCCTCTGGAACTCTCTAGCCCAATTTATCAAACTATTGCCTACTCTGCTCACTGTTAGGCAATCTCTGAAAACCTATCTCTTCAGGGAAGCCTATCCTGCCCTCAGCTAATAATGGAATCTTCTACTCCTCCTACCAGTCCATCCCCCACAGTTACTACCTTTTGTACCACTAGCCCCTCCCTCTTAGATTGTAAGCTCCAAGGAGCAGGGCCCTCCCAACCCTCTTGTATTGAACTGTATTGTTGCTGTATTGTCTCCTGTTATATTGGAAACAGCTGAGCAAACTGTTGGTGCTATATAAATCCTGTATAATAATAATAATAACAGCTGGAGGGCCGCCAGTTTGACACCCATGGTCTAGGGCAGCGTTTTTCAACCACTGTGCCGCGGCACACTAGTGTGCCGTGAGATATTGTCTGGTGTGCCGTGGGAAAAATTGCAATTTCATCCGTAACATGTGGCCTCGGCTCACAAATAGACCAATCATTAGAACAGCAATGGGCAAACTACGGCCCGGCGGACCTTTTTATCCGGCCCACGGAGCGTGATACTGTCAGGATGATCTGTCCCCCCTCGACGTA